GTCTCCCTTCACCCCCTTTTTTGTTGTCCATCCCCCAGGGAGGAGGTCACATGTAGATACTTGAAATCAACTACCTAAGTTTTTCAATGTCTTGAGGACATTATTCAAAAATCTAAACTCACTGCCATTGAGTTGATTAAAATTCATAGCAATTCTAGGTAGTGTTAACTTTCCAACTTTGTTTACCTCTTTCAAAAGCTATTTGAGGCTCTTTTAATATATATGGTACCTTTTTAGTATCTATCACTATATGTATATTTATATATTTAACTTCTCATTGTGAGTTAGATGAAAGTTTACAGAGCAGATCATAGCTGTATAGTCAGTCATTCAAACACATTCTGAATCAAGTCATCCATTCAAAGTCCTTCCAATGCACCATTGTGTATTCTATTTCCACCCCATGTTCCATTGCTCCTTCTTCCTTAACTCTCTGAACTGTGTCCTTGGGTGAATGGTGCCCTTTTGATCCTAAATACTTGATTATTCCAATGCAGAGCTATGTTTAGTTCTAGAGCTAAAGGGCCACACTGTCTCTATCTGACCAGTAAGCCTGATCTCCTTTATGCAAATATCCATATTTTAAACATCATATTTAACCTTATTAAAAGGGAAGGGAAAGATGAAGGTAATCCCTTTACCCTCATTCTCCGTAATGTTGGTCAAAGCCCTTAAGCTTGGGCCCTGCCAGGTGGGCTGGGGTAGTGGATGAGCAGAAAGTCCTAGCTTGAGCTAGAAGCCAAATAGGATATGGAACAAGTTATGCTTTTTGCATCACATATGAATCCTGGACCCAAAGGTCCTTCCCAACTCTCCCTGCTGGCAGGCTCAGATATCAGTGGGCTGCTAGCATTGGCTCTGCCTCTTCGCATAGTCGCCCTTCTGTTTCAGCCTGGCCACCAGCAGCCTGTGTCCTGCAAAGAACAGAAACAGGCACTTTGAAGGCAGGTTCATGCTGTGGAGCAGCTGGACACATGAAGAGAGATGAGCAGCTCAGCACAGGCTCTGGTAACTGCTCATCATTCTGTAGGTTTCCAGAGCACTCCAGCCCTGCCCTTTGTCAGCACCACGCAGCCCCAAAGATCTGCATTCACTGGATGCACTGCAACCCCTCTGCCAGTATAGGAGTTCTGGCAAGCTTTACATGCTGAACAGAAGTGGTGAGAATAAACAGTGGTGTATTGTTTCTGATATGAGGGTAAACACTTGCTTATTTTCTCCATGGAGATGTGTGTTGTTCTCTATTCCCTTGTCATTGTGGTGAAATACATTGGCATGTTTCTAATCTTGAAATCTTCTTGTGTCTTTTGATAAAGCATTTGATCATAGTATATTACCTTTCATAGGACTTGGGATTCAATTGTTAAAATTCAACTGGTCTACAGCATTTTAAAAAGGATTTGTAAGGTTCTAGTTTGGTTGTCATAGTAGGGTAACACAAAGTCTAAGAATGAAAAGTCATATATTTTATATGCAGTTCAATTCTGTGAACATGTTTATGTAGAACTATAATCTTTTCCTCTTCAAATATTGACTAGAGTTCACCAGTGAATATATTGATCTGTTCTTGGACTTTTCATTTTGGATATGCTTTGTTTTTTAAGTATGAGTTAAATTTATCTATTAAAGTTAAGTATACCTATGTTATGTATTCTATTTTGATTGAGTTTAGTTGTTTGGGACTGCCAAGAAATTTTAAAATTTACCTTATTTATTTGTTTTGTTGTATAGTTTATTGGCATTTCTCATAATTGCTTATATCCACTTATTATGCTTTTAATTTCTCTAATGCATAGCAGTGAAACAATTTATCTCATTGCTGACACTGGCTATTAAGTTTCTGTGTTTTATCCTGGTGTGTGTAAAAAATACTGTAGATCAATTGGATTTTTTTCAGTTGAATTCAAAATCCCATAAAAATTAATATATTATGATCAAATGGCTTATCAAAGGAACTAAGAATGCTTTATCATTAGAAAGATGGCATTATAATTTACCCATCATCAGATAATTTGCTTAGAGGTGTGCAATTAGATTCACCTAATACTTCTGTTTCATTCATTGTTGTAATGGCTTTTTTCTGTATTTCTTTTTCAGTTTTTGCTGTGATTTTTTTTTTTGGCTTCCGTTTCATTTGAGTTTAATTTATTGTACTTTTTCTAATGATTCTGAAGTCACTGATGTGGAAAACCTTTTCTTTTCTAATACAGATATTTAGCATGACAAAGTCCTTCCCGGATATGACTTACTATGGAGGTTTACTCATTGCTAAAAACTGTGGCACCAATATATGAAATACCAACAGGGTCACTCCTTGTGGACAGGTTTTAGCAGTTCTTCCAGACTAAGATGCACTAGGAAGAAAGGCCTGGAGATCCATTTCTGAAAGTTAGCTGCAATCATATGATCACAGCAAAACATTGTCGGAATCACTTGCGTTGGACACAAGTTCAAGACGGATCAATCCTTCAGTACCGGATGACATCATGGTGCTAAGAGGTCCAGTGAGGGTGAGGGAGAGTTTTGGTGAGAAGACTGGTACAAAGCTGCAAGCAAGGCCTTGACTTTCTGCTTATCATGAAAATGATGAAGGCCTGGCAACATTTCATTCTCTCTGAGTTGACACTATGGCAACTATTAATCTATCTGTGACACAACACTCATAATTCCTTCTAAGAAATTATCAGAAACTGAGTTGTCTATGGATCTGGAAGCCTACAACCTGCTACAGCTAGAGCTACCACGGTGCCTTTTTAATGCTTGTTTTCAATCTGCCTTGTTCATAAATAGTTTATAAAACTTTTTGTCATGATAGCTTATGAAACAGCATCTTTTCTCATTCAAATAACTTGGATAATTGTAATTACTTCAGAGCTTCTCTTACAAATGAATTATTATCTTATTATCAAATGAATTATTATTTTATTATATGGTCTTATGATTTGACTGAATACAAAATGTTTATTGAACATATGCTTTTCATTTTGTTGTCCTTTCTTCCTTTAGAAACATGTTCAAAAATAGATATAAACATTGAGAATGGATTTTTTTCTGAATCTGATTTTACATATCCTGTAAATAAGCGAACACAATATACGTGTAAATCAGGATATGTGACAGCAGATGGCAAAGCATCGGGATTCATTACGTGCTTGGAAAGTGGATGGTCAATTCAACCGACATGCATTAGTAAGGAATTTACTAAGTTTATGTTTTTATGATAAATTCTAAGTAGTTTCTTCACCTTAATGCTCTGATTTTAGGGAGTGGTAGCAAGTGGGTGTGGCTGACATTGTTCTATTTGTAATGATGACCTAAAGAGATATAATGCAGAAATTATAATAATATATAAATGATAAGCAATATAATATACATGATATGAAAATTATATATTATATGGAAGTCCTAAATATAGTGTAGAAATCATATACAATGTTGAAATTATACATAAAATATAGAAATCACATATATATAATGTAAGCAACCCTATAGCATATACACAGTATACACATAAAATTGAAAAATCACATATAATGTAGAAATCATATATGTGGTAGATTTATAGATAAAATATATAAAAATGTATCTACTATAGAAATCATATATGTAATAGAATATAGATGTATATTTATCATTAAGCATACGAGTCATTTTTGCCTTTTTTACAAAATTACTGGTAGGATAAAGGATATTTCCATCTTTGGAGTTCAAGTTTTTCCTAACTCAAAACAATCTTCAGATTTTGAAGCTAGTTAGTGAGTAAATATGTTTCTTTTTTTTTGGAACTATAAACACAGGCTTGTTTGTTTTTTCTATTGAAATTGTTTCTGTTATACCTATGTTTAGGTGACTAATCTTCTATAGTGAAGGCCTTTTTCCTAGACACAGAAGTTATGTTTTTAAATGTAAAGAGAACATCCATGGTACAGAATCCCCGAGTAATCTGGCCTCTGTAATGTAAACAATTAATGCTGTAGCAGATGCCATCATAGGAAAGTCCCTGCAGCCTTTTTGAAAAGTCTTCATAAATGTTTAGGTAATGAGGGTGGGAACATTCTTACAATATTAAATGTTAGTGTGTCAAAATTGCCTCTACTCCAATGCCTAGATACTGACAAAGGTTCTCTACAAACGAGTTGAAGCTCTGGTCGGAGATTTGGTTCAGTGCAAACCAACTAACCAGGAGGTCTGTGCCTCAAACCCACCGCTCCATGTGGAGAAGCTGAGTCTGTCTGCTCCCTTAGAGATTTACAAAGCCTTAGAAACCCTACAGAGTGTGAGGAGAGTTGGAAAGGACTCAGTGACCATGGGTCAAAAAAATTTGCTCCTTAAAGTGATTTATATCCTCTCGCCCCTGCAAAGTGACTCGGCAGTGTTTCAGAAGTATATCTATGTGAATATGGCCTTATTTTTTAATTTAAAAATTGGGAGAGTGCTTTTACTATAGATTCAGGCAAAAAGATAACAAAAGTTGATCTCATAGCAACTTGTTTTATCCTACATTGTGATAAATATCCAATACAAGACTCCTTTATGAGAGAGAAAGTAACATATGACACCTTGACATTTACTCTAGTGTGTACATCTCAAATGGTCATAAGATTGGTATTTTTAATTTTAAAAATGATACAATGGGTTGCTGAAAAATAATTAAACTCTATTGACTTTTGATTTTACCTGCATGGGACATGCTCAGAAGAATAAATAGAATTGAGAAAAAAGTATTTAAAATAATGTTATTATCAGAGAATTTAAGTAGAGAATGTTGTATACATAAACATGCATTTGTAATGTAATCATGATTTTATGAAAACAATTATTTAATCTTCTCAGGTGAAATTAAAAGATACATACTTATGTAGGATGTATTGTTTCTGAGATAAGATTTACTCAGTTGATTTGCCCATTAAGTAACATGAAATGAAATCCCCGATTTTACCAAACAACAGAATCTTGTGACGTGCCAGTATTTGAGAATGCCAGAGCCAAACGTAATGGCACATGGTTCAAGCTTCATGACCGGCTGGACTATGAATGCCATGAAGGCTATGAAATCGCAGGAGGAAGCACCACAGGCTCTGTAGTATGTGGTGAGGATGGCTGGTCTCATCCACCTAATTGCTATGGTGAGTTCTGTACCTGTTTGTTTTTCTTTCTATTTTCATAACTTTCAGATGCTATAGTCTGTCTGTATGAGTTTCTGTGGAGGGTGGAATTTTAATGATCTAAAAACATTGTTCAGGAATGATCATTTAAGCCAAACTGTCTCCTTCTGATTTTATATAAACTGGGAGGAAATAGTGTTTGAAGACCAAAAGTAATACTGTGTTTTTAAAAGATTGCATAATGTATGTTTTCTACGGGCAACAGACATTAGAGATTTGTCATTAAAATATATTTTTAAAATAAATCCTACATCCACATTTTTGAATTATTTAAAGCTGATCAAATTCTGGTTAATCATTATCCCTTCAACTATTTTATTTGAGTGCCTGCTTTTTGCTTTCTTCTTTAAAATGAATAGCTATACAGTTTTCTAAGCAAAGGAAATAGTGAGGACAATGCTCTAACATAAAAATAAATTTAAAAAACTGAGCATGAGAGGAATCTGCTCCAGGTGTGGGTAATTTTATCAGCTAAAGTGTGGAGAGGAGTCAAAGCAAGATGATCCACAACATTTCAAGACATATAACATTGGACAATTTTATACTTGATGAAAAGGTAGAAAGGGGGTTTAAGAAAATCAGTGATGCAAATAGACTTGCATTTGTAAGGGTTTTGTTTTCTTTTTGTGCGTGTGGTAGTCATGACAGGAAGGAAGGAGCCCACGTATAGTGAGATACAGTGGGGACTCAAATAAGATGAGGACTAAAGAGACGCGGAGCTGAGAGGGGATTTTGGATGTATTGGGCCATAGAAAGGAAGACAGAGTTACTGTGTGTTGGATCCAGCATCTCAGGCATTTGTTTTGGTTTTCAGAGACACGTTAGTGAATGGCAGCCATTGAATGCCCACTTGTCACTCTGCTTGCACGTGCAGAAAGGCTGCAGGTCTCACTATCAGCAGCCATGAAACTGCTAAGAATGAGGCGCATACAACTACCATGGGTGCTACTCTCATCTGTCATTGAGTTGGGCACATGAGATACACAGTGTTGGCAAAGTGAAAATCATTATTATTATTTATAGCAAGCAAACAGCAATCAATATGAACAGATTCTGAAGGGGAATTATTGCCCTTCCTCAAATTACCAACGTCTATCCATGCATTGCAGGGCAGGCATATTGTGGTCTAAGTCAGATACTGTGCACATGCTCCTGTTGCCTCTGGCTACACTTCAGCTGCTGCTGGGAGCCTGCACGCTTCCCAAGTCTTCTGCTGTGCCCTGGGCCTCCCTTGGCTTTGCCTTGTCCTCAGGAACCCTCTGCACAGGTTCTCCTGTGCTTCTCCTGTGGGTCTATCAATGTCTCTGTCACTGCCTCCCTACTGGTTCTCTCCACGCTGCCTGAGGGTTCACTTAGAAGGGTTAGGTAGCTCTAGCCAGGGACACATGCAGGCCCTGTCCTGCATGTAAAGAATTATAGTTCTTTCAGCTCCATGGGCTAATGCCTGAAGGTACCCTCCTTTTTCAAAAATAATCATAATTGATATCACTCAGTTCTCTGTTCTTGGCTGGCAAGGTCATGGCTGGGCTCACAGTTCTGCTGCTCAAAATGCTACTGTTCTTTCTCTACTGCTTGGCTTTGCTGTGTTTGCTACTCTTAATAAACTGTGGACATTTTCTATAGGGTTACAACTCGTTTCTTAGTGTAGGGGGTGTTTTCTGCTCAGGAACTCCATGTCCAAAGAGCATGCTCCTCTCCAGACTCTTTTGGGTGGTACCCAAAAGTCCATTGGACTGGTCCTTAAATACATGAACTCACTCATTTCGAGGCATGGTCTTTCCAATGGGACCGTGGTCTGACCATGCCCACTTGGTAGAGCACAAGTCACTTAAAGGAATAAGAATATTTTGACCATTGGCAAAATTGTGTCCCAGCCCATCACTTTGTGTTAGTTAGAAGACCAGAGTGAGAACAGCTATTTTTTTAAAGTCCATGCAGTGTACTGCAGCCATTTACTAAAAGGGCATTTGGGAGGAATGCCAAAGCTTTTAGCTTAGATATATTATGATTGAACTACCTATGGCCATTCAAAAGTTGGTATGTAAAGTGGAAAGTTGGTTATTTAAGAAGAAATCATAAATTAGTGTTACTAGGGTTACAGTTCATACAGACACAGGTTTAGTTCAAATAAATTGTTTGGACACATCTCTGTGATCAGAGTGTGGCTGTAAGCAAGCTCTCTCAATAATACACTTCTCTGAGTGTCATTAGGATCACTCCTTAACTAGTCTAATCAAATCAATAGTTTTGGAGAGGACCTGCTGGCATTCAAGGCAGAGAGGTTTGCGCAGAAGGTAAAGACAGCTGGTCCAGGTAGGTGACCATGTGCACTGATAGATGTAGGCTAGGACATAGGACAATCATGAGGATTTACGGGGAAGATGTTTAAGGACATCGCAGACTACATTGGTGAGGATTCTGCTCCTTCACGACAATGCACCTGTTCATTGTTCACGGACAAGAAGGCAGTCTTATGTGACTGTAGCAGGACAAGCTGACCACACCCACCTTCTCGTCCTGATCTGCCCTGTGCGTCTTCCTTTTGCTCTCCAAACTGAGAATATGTGTTACAACATCGTTAAAATGTATATTCAGGATTTAAAATTGATATTTACATCTGTCAGCTTGAATGTATTTTGAATTTGGGACAAAAACACTTATCTATTATACAGCTTAGGCCCATTCAAATTATTCTTAAAATCACTTTCCAGAAGATATTATCATAAATTGCAGTGTAAATTTTATTAATTGGTGAATACTTGTTTTCTTAATTTGTAGATATGTATATATTTTGATTTTTAATGATCTTTATCTTAAAATATACCTGAAACCTTTCCTTCTTGCATGCACATGGTTTCCAGTTAGATCAAAAGAAGCTCCAATGGTGCAGTGATTAAGGATTTGAGGATGAACTGGAGATAGCACCGCAAACACCACCAGCTAGGTCGCAGTAGTAAGAGGCAGGGGCCTGCTTAATGAAATCCAAGGGGAAAATGTATTGTGTTTTATGGAGTTGCTGTCAGTCAGAATTGATTTGGCAGAAATGCACTAATTAGGTTATACAAAATTACCAATTTTTATTAAGTGTTCAATTGAAAAACCAACATTCTTTCCTTAATCGGAGAAAGTAATTCTACTGTTTTAGACTAAAAAGAAAACTTTAACTATTATAAATGCTAGTAATAAAAGGAAGTTTAACCAAGCAGGTTGACTTTACATCTATATTTTCAAGACACGTATATTGCTCTTCAATACCGTAAGATCTCACAGAGTTCAACTTTAATTTTTAGGGTTTTCAAAAGTGAAATGATGTTTTTCAAAGAAAAGGATTTATATAATGCTCCTCTGTGTGTCTTTGCACCCAGTTTTTCATTAATGCATGACATATATGACATTTATTTGGAAATGGTAAATTTTATGTTCTCAGTAATATATCTTATTGTATACTTTTAGAGAGAGAATGCAGTATTCCAAAAATACCACAAAACTTAGTAGCTTCACCTAACAATGCCAAGTATAAAGTTGGAGATGTCCTGAAGTTCACCTGTAGACAGAAGTAAACATCTTTCTGGTATTCTCTGCTTTGAGTAAAGATCTATCTGACACCAGCAAGGTTATCCTTTGTCTCACATCTACTTTAGAATCTAGATTTAACTTCTGGCAACCTTTGTTGGATGATCATCAGTAAAATTTTACCAGCATGTGATATTAATGATATTGTTCCATGATTTGAGCATTCTGTTGGGTTACCTTTCTTTGGAATGGGTAGAAATATAAATCTTCGAATCCACTGAACAAGGAGCTGTCTTCCAAATTTCCTAGCGTACATGAGTATGTGCTTCCAGTGCTTCATTAACTTGTTGAAACATTTCAACTTGTGTGCCATTGATCGCTGAAAGGTTGTTTTTGGCTAATGCTTTCAGTACAGCTTGGACTTCTTACTTTATTGCCATTCGTTCTTGCTCATATGATACATCTTAAAATAGGGAATGTCTACTGGTTATTTTTGTACAATAATTCTGTGTGTTCTTTCCCTACTTGCTTGATGCTTGTTTAATCATTCAATATTTTGCTCAGAAACTTTAAATATTGCAACTTGAGGCTTGACTTTTTCTTTAGTTCTTTCAGTTTATAATGTGCTGAATATTTTCTTCCTTTTTGTTTTTCTAACTCTAGGTCTCTGTTGACCTATAAAATTATCATATTTTACATAGTCCTTTTGAGAAGACTTTTGAAGTTTTTGTTCAGCATGTGATTTCATCATTTTTTTCCACTTGCCTTAACTACTCTAGCATGATGAGCAAGTTTCAGAGTCTCTTATGACATCTGCTTTAATCTTTCTTTTCAATGTACTTTTTCTTTTCCCTCCAATGATGTCCTTCATGTCAACCCATGGCTCGTCAGGACTTCTGCCAATAGGGCTCAGTGTGCAAACCTGTTCTCGAGAGGTTCTCAGGTTCAGGAGGTATAAACCCTCAGCGCCGTAGTGGGTTGCACATTGCACTGAAAACCACAAGGTTAGCCTTTTGAAACCATCACCCTGTTGGAGAGAAAAAGATGAGACTTTCTATTCCCATACAGAGTTACAGTCTCAGAAACCCACGCAGGTTCTTACGCCCTGTCCTGTAGGGTTGCTATGATCAAAATCTACTTGATGCACTGAATGGATGGCCACCCAGGACCAATACATATATGTTTATTTCATGTTCTTTCTAACTCTTTGTGACAAAGTTTAGGCTACTGGATACACGTCTAATCCCACAACTGAGGCTTACCAAAAGTATTTAGCTTCCATTCCCACACCATAAGTAACTAGCAACCAGTAACCTACATCTTGGAGATATACAAGCTAACTGCTCAAGTAATCGAGCCTGATATATACTACACATGTGTGAACTTCTCTGATCAATAAGATTATGACTACAATAATATTCCTAGCAATAGTATGGCTCTAAACCTTAGTGAGGTAAGTTAGGATGTAATTCAATAAAACGACAATGTTGTCACAGAAATAAAACCAGGCACTTAAAGAAACAACAGTGGTAAGAATAGATATTGTATTATCACCTGAGTACAGCCCTAATATATGAAAAATTAGTTCTTATAACATGGCCCTGCCAAATACTCAGCCATAATGAAATATTAAATACATGGGTGCCGCAGCAAAATGTAGTGAAGAAACTACATGGTGTTTGGTTATCATGAGTAATAGCATCCGGGGTCCTAAAAGCTTGTCCCAAACAAGGAACCATCTAAGAGAGTGGTTCTCAACCTCCCTAATGCCATGACCCTTTAGTATAGTTCCTCATGTTGTGGTGACCCTCCAACCACAAAATTATTTTCATTTCTACTTCATAACTGTAATTTTGTTACTGTTATGAATCGGGCGACCCTTGTGAAAGGTTAGTTCAGCCCCCAAAGGGGTCATGACCTACGGGTTGAGAACCGCTGATCTAATGGAAGAGTCAGCTAAGTTCTCATGAAGAAGCTTACCACCCTGTGTGAACCAAAGATAAAACGTTTTTTAAAATTAACTTAATAGCAGTGTGTTTTTCTTTAAAGTTCAAATGTGTTTTAATCCTTTGAACATTTTCAAGGAATTGATGTTTCCTTTGAAATGACATCTTTTAAAAGGTGAGATCCAATAGACATTATATTTTATTAGACAGAAAAACACCCATCATTTATCTTAGTTCTTAATTTTTCATGAAGAAAACATTGATAGTGCAAAGCAAAAATATTTATCAATGTTTAATATGTGTTTTAAAGTAGCCTTCAATTTATATGATTTGAGTTTCTTCCATGACCCAATTCTTTCCTCAGTAGTCACAGAAAACTTTATATTACACATTATGCTTCATTTTTGTTTTCCACAGGTAAATCAGCAAAGTGACTTAATTTCTCATTAAGCCAAGTAGTACGTGTGTGTATATGTATAATATATATATATATATATTAGATTCTACAGGAAAATGTGGATCTCCTCCTGCTATTGAAAATGGAGACACAACTTCATTCCCACAAAAAGAATATGCTCCAGGATCATCAGTTCAGTATCAATGCCAGGCCTTCTATGCACTTCACGGTAACCAACAAATTACATGTGTGAATGGACGGTGGTCACAACCACCAAAATGTTTAGGTGAGTACCTCAGTGTTTCCTTTGATCCAGGAAAAATAAAAATAATAATCATTATGTTTTGCTAGATATGATATAACATCACAAACTAGCAAACACCATTGTGTTGAATAGCTTACTTCTACATATTAATAAAGCAAAAGTTTTTCCCATACAGCTAATTCTCACTTATGCAACACAGAATTATAACTACTTTCTAGTGATTTTCAATGTTAATATGTAAAGGCACGAAGTTTTAAAAATTCTTATTGAATAAAAAGACACAAATATTTCTTTAATGCAAACCACTTATTAAAATAATTGACCTTGTGATTCCCTGATATATGATCCAATTATTACTCTCATTAAGCATGATGCACCATTTTTGTATCATTGAACAGTTTTCAGGCCCCTGGCTGGCACAAATGCTTTACAGTCAACTTCTCACCTGTGGGTAGGCAGTTTGAAGCCACCGAGCAGAACTACAGAAGAAAGCCTGGCAATCTCTTCCTATTGATATTATAAACAAGAAACCCTATTATGCAAGTTTGCTCAGAACAACACACATGGAGTTAGTTCCCACTCAACAATTCAGAATTTGTTTGACTGCAATGAGTTGATATTTAGGTTTCTCATGTCACCATATTAAAATGCACATGATAATTTCTCACAGAGAGGAAAGATTTTTGGAAAGCATGCCCAAATCATTATTCAATACTGTTTTTAAACCTGAAAGTCTACAAAAATATATTTTTTGCAGGCTAACAGTTTTTATGTTTGTTTGTTCTATTTTCAGATGTGT